GCATCACCATCTCTGAATGCTACAGCATCAAAATCCTGGGAGGTATTATTGACCAGAAACTGAGCTGGGCCAGCCATATACCAAATATTTTATTGCTAAAATCGGTTTTCTAATATTAGATTAATTTGATTATTGAATCAAACAACTCCCTGTGTGCTAATCTCTGATTCTATCAACAAATGATGTTGCACCAGGGCAAGCGAGTAGGGGATAAGTATAGAGAGTTTGCGTATTTTTGGCTGAAAGACAAGGGTTAACCTTTACATTAAACAAAAACAACTTTTTTGGCCAAATTTCAGGGTCTACCTTTTACACAAGATTGACAATTATTTACTAAATAATATAGCTCAGAGAGCAGGTCAGAGGTTGGAAATTCTGCAGCAAGTAACTCTTGACATGGGCTATCAGCTTCAAGAGCAGTGATTAGTCGATTTCAGCTTCTTCCAAGTACTCTCTACCTCTGACCCTCCACACTTTCATTCTCGAAAATGAAAGCAGTCCATTAAATCCCTCTCAAGCAGTACCTTCTGCTTGGGTTTCTGCCCCCACTGCCACCTTCCTACCTCTAGATTACCTTACCCACGAGTCAGCCCTTAATTGGCCAGAACTGATCAGGACTTTCTGGCACCTTATTGCCTGTACAGGTAGTTCTCCTGTAACGCGATAGTTGCATTCTTGCGTGACCTTGCGCTATAGAAAATCGCCATGGAATATTGTATTATAGGGAAATCACTATACCTGTACAGCAGAAAGTTCACGGTTATCCAAACAGCATCCACTATTCATCAATTGCATTACAGCCAATTTGTGCTAACGAAACACGCGTTATAGCAGAAATACCTGTAATTCTGCTGCATAGGAATAATTAACACTCCTTTTCTACTTCTACCTGCTGGTTACTCTGAAACAAAAAATACATTTTTGATAAATATTTATGACAAACCATTTATTTTCTGCCTTTTTTTTAAACAATAAATAATTTTCTGTGCTAAAAATAGTTTAAAAAATTGAATTTACGAATGAACCAAAAAACAGTCCACATTTTTGTAACATATATCAAATCAGGCTTTTTAAATGATTATTATCATGAATACAAAGTATAATTCATTGATAACTACAGGTAGTTCTGCTATAATGCATTTTGTTAATGCGAATTGGCTGTAATGCAATTGATGAATGTGGACAGTATTTGGATAACACAAACTTTCTGCTGTACAGGTATAGCGATTTCCCTATAATGTGATTTTCTATGGTGATTTTCCATAGCACAATTTTCTATAGTGTGAGGTCACACAAGAATGCAACTATTGCGTCATAGGAGTACATCAAACCTAAGAAGTACAAACTTCTAAAATAAAATCATAAATTTGCTCTTTCCACAAAAATAATTTTCTTCACACTAGTAACTTTGAAGATACCCAGTTAATAAGATTCTCACTTAGACAGTGGATGTTTAAGTGATCAGGGAATATGAACTGTCCATTGATCTAGGATACATATAGTTGTCACTTGAGAGTGCTTTCATCACACTTTTAAGCCAATGTCATGTTGGAAATAACTCCACAGAGGCCGTTTTCTTATCACCAGGTCACCCTTTATTTACATGCGAACAGTACATGGACTCTGACCAGCTAACTCTCAGCCAGTTACTAGAGAGAGAAAAATCTCTCAGACTTCTGTTTATATCTGTCAGCCAGGGCTTCCTGATTGGCCCAGGTTAACTGCCACAATTAGGGATCTCACACTCAATGAGAACCACCTGGCCCTCATTCCAATCATTACAATGTTCAATAGTTTTTCTCTTTCAAAGTCACATTTTTTTTAATAGTCATGTATGTTAACTTTTTTATTCATCCATGGATGTGCATGCTGCTGACTAGACCAGCATTTATTACCCATCCCACAATTGCCTGGATGGCAGTTAAGAGTCAACTTCATTGCTGTCAGTCTGGAGTCATATGTAGACCAGACAGGTAAGGATTGCAGATTTCCTTCCCTGAAGGATATCATTGAATGAGATGTTTTTTGTCTTATGACAATTGACAGTGGTTGCCATTATGCTACCTTTTATTTCCACATTTTCATTGAATTTAAAATTCATCATTTACCACGGTGGGATTCAAACCCACACACCGAGAACATTAGACTCAGGTTCAGGATTGCTAGTCTAGTGATATTACCACAATGTATTACCTGCCCAAATGGTATATAAAGTACTGACATAATCATTTTTCTTTCTGTTCTCTACACTTTACATTCAGGCTGATGAATATGATTCCCATGCTTCCCGTTCTTGACCCAGCAGGAAACGTGTACTACAACTGGCTCCTGATAATTACAATGCCTGTGATGTACAACTGGACAATGATCATTGCTAGGTAGGATGAGATGAGAACAAAACTGACAAATAACACAGTATAAATATTATATAGACATTGTGAGGTTCTTAGTGAAGAGTGTAATTCTCAATACACTTAATCATATTAAATCAGTCTCAATACTGTGGAAAGTGACAAGTGTGTACTGGTGTAAGAAGGTAAAATGGAGCATTAGTTATCCCTAGGATATTGTCAGGAACCCTTTAGTAGCTGAATCAGGGCAGAATTATCAGATGTCATAACCTTTGACCTTAAAGCAATATAGAACATTTGTGAGTTCTTTAAAATTCTTATGAAATCTGTAATTGCTTTTAACACTTGACGTGGAAGCAGTACCAACTAAAAGGAAGTTATGATACCATATCACTGGCAGACAGAAGAACAGACAAAGAAGTTTCTGCTGTAAAGGAGAGATGCAAGGAAATAATCAGTTCACAGATGCAAACACAAAGAGAAAGCAGAAATGGAAAGCGGAACATGTAAAGCCCACTTTTCCTGTTTCGCAGAAAAGGAGAAAAGAGCTTTTGGAGGCACTATGTCAGCTGGTTTAAAAAAAAAGGCCTAAAACCAGGATAGCTGAGAGACACTAAACAGGTGTGTAGCTTCCCAGAAATCACCAAATCATGATCCACAGTGTGATGGATTTTGTTGAAAAGGAACTCTGAAATCTAGCCCATTAGGATTGTTGCAGTGAGGGTTCATAGAAGTGTACCTTGCTGATGATAATCGTAGCTGTGAAACTCGTAAGTAAAAGCTGCTGATGGATCAGGCCCCCGTTCTACACCGTAAATAAAAAATAGTGTACTGTCAAACAGTTTAGCTACCTGGTGTCACTAAGCGAGAGTAATGCTGATGCTTGTGGTTATGTAAGGTTATCGACTACTTAGAGAAATTTACCTTCTTATTTAAAATATTATTTGCCTGTTAACTCATTCATTCTGGACTGGTTTTGATTCATACTAAGATAAATATTACTAAAGGTGGTCTGTTGTTGGCAATTCCTGCACTTTGGGGTCATCTGGTAAATTTGTTTATTTTAGTTTAAAGCAAATCATCATAATCTAGAAATTGATGGTCTTAACATTGTGACCATAGTTAATGTATGGCTTATTGAAAGTCAAAAAGTAGACGTTAAAGGACTGTAAACCTCAATTTAAGTAACATCAACTCTCGATCATCAGTAAAGTGATGGAAGGTGTCACCAACAGTGCTATCAAGCAGCACCTGCTCAGCAATAACCTGCTCAGTGAAGCTCAGTTTGGGTTCCGCCAGGGCCACTCAGCTCCTGACCTCATTACAGTCTTGGTTCAAACATGGACAAAAGAGCTGAATTCCAGATGTGAGGTGAGAGTGATAGCCCTTGATATCAAGGCTGTATTCAACCGAGTGTGGCATCAAGGAGCCCGAGCAAAACCGGAATCAATGGGTATCAGGGGCAAATGCTCCGGTGGTCGGAGTCATACCTGACACATAGGAAGATGGTCGTGGTTGTCGGAGGTCAATCATCTCAGCTCCAGGACATCTCTGCAGGAATTCCTCAGGGTAGTGTCTGAGGCCCAACCACCAACCATCTTCAGCTGCTTCATCAATGACCTTCCCTCCATCATAAGGTCAGAAGTGGGGATGTTCGTCGATGATTGCACAATGTTCAGCACCATTCGTGACTCCTCAGCAATCTGAAGCAGTCTGTGTTCAAATGCAACAAGATCTGTACAATATCCAGGCTTGGGCTGACAAGCAGCAAGTGACATTCATGCCACACAAATGCCAGGCTACGACCATCACCAATAAGAGAGAATCTAATCACCGTCCCTTGACATTCAATGGTGTTGCCATTACTGAATTCCGCCCCCCCCACCGTTAACATCCTGGGGGTTACCATTGACCAGAAACTCAACTAGACTCACCACATTAACAGAGTGACTACAAGAGCAGGCCAGAAGCTGGGAATACTGAGGCGAGTAACTCATCTCCTGACTCCTCAAAGCCTGTCCACCATCTACAAGGCACAAGTCAGGAGTGTGATGGAATACTTCCCACTTGCCTGGATGATTGCAGCCCCAACAACACTCAAGAAGCTCGACACCATCCAGAATAAAGCAGCCCGCTTGATTGGCACTACACCCACAAGCATCCATTCCCTCCACCACCAACGCTCGGTAGCAGCAGTGTGTACTATCTACAAGATGCTCTGCAGAAATTCACCAAAGATCCTCAGACAGCACCTTCCAAACCCACAACCATTTCCATCTAGAAGGGCAAGGGCAGCATATATATGGGAACTCCACCACCTTCAAGTTCCCCTTCAAGCCACTCACCATCCTGACTTGAAAATATATCATCGTTCCTTCACTGCCGCTGGGTCAAAATCCTGGAATTCCCTCCCTAATGGCATTGTCGATCAACCCACAGCAGGAGGACTGCAGCGGTTCAAGAAGGCAGCTCACCACCACCTTCTCAAGGGCAACTAGGGATGGGCAAGAAATGCTGGCCAGCTAGCGACGCGCACATCCCATGAAAATGAATAGAAAACATGTTTAAAAAGAAACAAACAAATATTTCTTAAACTATTTATTAATTAGTGTATATCCTGTTCCTCTTAGCGTCTTCTTTAACAATTCACTCGGAGCAAGGTAAATTATTATTGAGTAATTGGTCAGATCTTGTATTTCTTGAGGGAAACTTTAATTATGTTATGTGTTGGGATGTCATCTGTAATGCTGAAGGATGTATTATTTATGATAAATGGGTAATGTGTTTTAAATAAACTAAATGGAATAGATACTTTTGTTATTGTGTCACAAAGCATTGAGATGTGAGTTTGTACCTTTTGATCTGCGATATTGTTAGTTACTAACCACAGTCAGAATATGTTTTCATCAAGCAAGAGAATCACCCAGACTGATTCCACACACTTCACCCAGAGTTGGTCAATACTTGGCAATAGTGGATTACTTTCTCAGCCTGGAATGATGCATTGGTTAGGAAAAATTAAAAGCAGATAGGAGAAAGGTTTTGAAAAATAAATAGAACAGCATCAACTACAGGTTACATTTCTTCACAATTCCCTACATGCCAAAAAATATCATCATAGCCCTTTAGAAAGTGAAAGGAAAGGGAAAACAGAGAGAGACTAAACTGTATTCTGAAACCACACCCAAGGAGACAATTGACTCTAAAGAGGGATTGGACATTTGGGGAGGTACTTCCAAAGGACACAGCATAATAATTGAAAAGGATCCCACCAATTAAGGGAACCAAGAGAGTATGGCTGATGGGCATCACTGAAGCTGGAGCTAAAGTCCGCAGGGAGATTTCAAAATGAGAATGAGGTTGTCAAAATGGTATGGTAGCTAGTGAATTTTGACTACAATAGGATTGATGAGATTTAAGAATTTGGTGTGGATGTAAGATTTTGTTAGGACAGGCATAGAGAATGGCTAACAGACATTTGAGCCATTCAGCTTCAAAATTATAAAGCAGTACTTCCCAACTTTTTTTCCACCGTATGATCCCATTTTAATACTTCAGATGCTTTGTCACATCAGGAATTGGCAGCTGTTCTTTAGCTATTGATAGTTTGGGGCTGGGATGGGGGTGAGGGTTTGGGATAGTGCTGGTTTAGCTCCTGAGCTGGGGAGGGGTGAGATGTTCAGCATGCAAAATAATTTATATTCCTTGTGCTGACTTAGGCAGCTGTCTGGATCAAAGTGTTTGTGGCTTGGCCAGACCTGCTTTGTAGAATTGTCTCAGTGAGATCCTTCCAGACTCTGTTAGGTGAGCACTGTTTGGGTGATAGTTTCCTTTCATCATTAGAGGATGCCTTCAGTCTTTGCAACTATATTGAAGTTCAAATTCAACTGTATTTTCTGCAATGTCTGTATGGAACTGTTAGACCTTTGTATTTACTTGTAGACATGATGATAGATACCTCAATGCCACTTTGCTACAGAATCTACATATCTGTTGATGTAACTAGTTTCCAGAAATCTACTGTTTTCTGTCTTGAGGCTGCTCAATGGTGAAGCTTCCACAGTCCTTTGGGGTAGAGAATCCCAAATATTCACCACCATCTGACTGAAGAAATTCCTCTTGATTTCAGTCTTAAATAGCCTATCCTTTGTCCTGAGGTTATATCCCTTGGTTTTAGACTCACTAACTGGGGAAAACAAATTATCTACATCCTCCCCACCATGCCTTATACAAATTTTGTAAGTTTCAGTGAAGTCACTCCTCATTCATTGAATCTCTGGAGAACACAGATCCAGTTGCCTTAATCACTCCTCATAGCAAAATCCTACCAACACAGGATTATTCTGGTGAACCTCTGTACACTTCCTCAATGACAAGAATATCCCTCCTTAGATAAGGGGAACAAAACTGTACACAATACTGCAGGTGAGATTTCACCAATGCTCTATATAACTGCAGCAAGACATCTTTATTCTTGTAATCAAATTGCCTTGTGGTGAAGACTAATATGTCACTTGCCTTTGTAATTGTTTGCTGCACCCACATGTTAATTTTAAGTGATTCATGAACAAGGACACCAAATTCCCTTCAAACACTCACACGTCCCAACCCCTCACCTTTTAAGAACTATTCTGCCTGTCAATATTTTTTCCTACCAAAATTAATGACCTCACACTTGAATATTGGGGAAAAAAGACAGTTTGTTGAAGTTTTTCAACTAGCATTCATCGGGAAAATGCACAAGAATATCAATTCTAAGGGAAATGCTGGTTGGTTGTCAAATAGACTCTGACTTTAGAGGTGTTGCCATGGAGAATGCAATCATGAATGATGATTAACAGGCAACTATTAGGTTTTGTTTAAATTTTAGAACAAGCCAAAAGCTGACTGTTCACTGTCAATTATCATTCATGGGTACATTCTCCATGGCAATACCTCTACAAGTCTGAGCCTGCTATTTAATTAATCAGGATTGTCCCCTCATACAGTGTAATGTGATTTTCCCCTGGAATTGATATACATGTAAATGGTCCTGATGAATGCAAGACAAGGCAAGATGATGGCCTAGTGGTCTTATCGCTAGACTGTTAATCTAGAGACCCAGGTAATGTTCTGAGGATAGTAGGAACTGCAGATGCTGGAAGATCTATGATAACAAGGTGTAGAGCTGGATGAACACAGCAGGCCAAGCAGCA